CCTCCCCTACAAACTTCTTGCATAACACCAGGTTTCTTATATACCAGGCAAGAACGGTGTGATGAGATATTGTCCCATTCTTTGAAAGAATCAGCAAAGTTTTGACCCTGCCTTTTAGATCAAATAGGTGTTCCCCAAGATGCAAGAGGGTTCCTCCTGATACCGCATCACATATGCTATATCCGCTTTATTCCACTCTCCCTTCAAGGCACACGCTAAGGGAAACAAAACATTACTGACACTTCTCAGCATTCATTTTTCTGAACAAGTCGATAAATATTTTATTATTGCATGGAATCCTATCCTATGGGCAGTGGTACGTTGGCTGTTTACTGGGAAATATCCTACTACTACTGCAGCCCCATCCCACCCCTGCCCCCAAGGTGGGGCTGGCAAGAAGGAGCACAGGCACAGCAGCATCTGGCTTCTCACTGTGCCAGCCCAGATGTGGCATAGTTGACCAGGAGGAGCCATTCCTAGTTGACTTTGCTGTTTTCTTTCTCTGCACCTAACAACTGAAACATACAGCCAGGAGAATCAAACAGACTCCCTAGATTCTATCAGACTGAACATTGAAGTTGCGCTTGAATGCTCTTCTACATAAACTCTCTGCACAAATACTGAGGCAAGACTAGAGTCCTACTTCCTGACATGCTATTTTTGTAAATGTGTGGGGGAAGCAATCAGCTATGTAGTCTCTCACCTATCATCTAAAATGACACAAGCCCACCAAGATCCGCACGACACTACTCTCCAAATATGTATATCACTTAATATTCTCTGCCTACTTGGTCTACTTATAACAGCATAGTATAACCAATCATTTTACTCCCTACTCCCTCTAATCTAACATAATGAGGGAAGGAACATTCAGTCACAGGAGGTGTACAACAGAAAGCTGAATAACACCATAACCTTAATCCACTATATATTTCTTCTAGCTAGTCACTTCACAGCTGTAACTCATATTACTCCCCCTAAACAGATTATGCCAGATACAGTCTTTTTCATCTCCTCCCCACACCTCTGGATTACCCCATCCACCAAGCTAATGTAGGGATACTTAGTACAGCTATGTATATGCAAATAGACACACATATACATACATACACATATATACGCACACACATAAATACATTTATATTTATACACACACACACACAAAATCAAAGTCAAGAAGTCTCCCAACAAAAAAGTACTCTACTTAAAAGATGCCTAAAGCTTCAGAATTAGGATCAATAATACGCCATATCATGTATATTTTATTTACAGATGAAAACAGCAAACATCTAAACACAGCAATGTGCCTATATTATAAAATAAGTCCAGAACTTAGTTCCACAGGTTATGCCCACTGGTCTTCATCAGCCATAGCGGTTTTTCAAATGTGCTCTAGAAATGTAATTTTAGTTGAATAGTCATAGATAAGCAGCTAATGAAACCCAATGATCAAAATACATTCAGGTTCTTTATATAGACTAATTTTATGATACTGCTGTAACATCAGTTCTTAGAAGATTTTAATGGCCAAGGAAAGTGTATTGAGATTTTTATTGTTTTTTGGAAATGTGTATGTACAGTTGTGATGGACTCCGGGCTTGGGATCAGCCTGCAAGAAAAGACATCTGCAGTCCCGTGACTAGCAGTGGTAATGTACTTCTGATGCAGAACTCAGTGGAGGTTCTAATGATTTTTAAAAAACCCTCTTGACAGTTGGAGTTTGGCCATTGAGACTGTCAGGTTTTTGGTTGGTGGGTACTGTGCCAGGGGACTGACTAGTCATGTTGGACCCTGCTGAGGAGTAAATGAGATTTCTCTACAGATTCCAATATTAAGGGAATCTGAAAAAAGCCAAACGTGGTTCAATACCATAGTGAAATCTAAGGAGTCTTTAAAAGGAAAATAAGCTCCTGGTGGTTAAACAAGAGATTCACATTCCTCTCACATAGAATCTATACCCTGCTGGGGGGAGAGTCGGGTTTAGTGGATTTAGTGTGTGCCAAGAGGGTTTATTGGACTAGTGGGTGTCCAAAAAAGAAAAAGAGAGGGAAAAACCGAAGGCACAGCGGAGCTATTTCTCTGTGGAAGTGGAGAGTACCTGAGAAATCCAAACGGAAACCGGTGGTCTAGAACAGCACAGGGGTTGAGATTAGCCCCCAGCACCAGAGGCAACCCTGTCCAGCTTTCTTTGTTAGGTACAGAAGTAGACAGAATAACAATAAAGACTGAGTGAATAGAATAGAAGCTAGAAGAAGGAGCAATAATTCATTGAAGACCCAAAGGATGTATTAAAGATTAAACTTGACTAGAGGGAGTTGTATGGTGGTTTCATAAGTGGGTGGGATAAAAGAAAAATAAGAGGATACAAACTGGATTGGGATTCGGTTTGGTTTGTCAGTTGTATAGATGGAATGTAACCTCAATTTATTTATTTTTTGTTTAAAACATCTCTCCTTATATATAATTGAGTAAGAACATTCTATATGAACATTCTAAATTTGGCCCCTTTAGTGTATGGACGCTTGAACTGTCAGTCAGAAGACGCTGGCTGGGTTGACTGGCTGCTTTGTGCAGTCCCGCCCAGCGTTTCAAGGTCTTTTGCATATGGAAGCAGACTTCACTGCATTCCACACCTCAAACTCACCCCCCTCCCCGCAAGGCAGTTGGAATGTCAGTTGCATATGGAACCTTCAAGGTCTTTTGCATATGGAAGCTGATTGGACTTCACTGCATTCCACACCTCAAACTCACCCCCCTCCCCGCAAGGCAGTTGGAATGTCAGTTGCATATGGAACCTTCAAGGTCTTTTGCATATGGAAGCTGATTGGACTTCACTGCATTCCACACCTCAAACTCACCCCCCTCCCCGCAAGGCAGTTGGAATGTCAGTTGCATATGGAACCTTCAAGGTCTTTTGCATATGGAAGCTGATTGGACTTCACTGCATTCCACACCTCAAACTCACCCCCCTCCCCGCAAGGCAGTTGGAATGTCAGTTGCATATGGAACCTTCAAGGTCTTTTGCATATGGAAGCTGATTGGACTTCACTGCATTCCACACCTCAAACTCACCCCCCTCCCCGCAAGGCAGTTGGAATGTCAGTTGCATATGGAACCTTCAAGGTCTTTTGCATATGGAAGCTGATTGGACTTCACTGCATTCCACACCTCAAACTCACCCCCCTCCCCGCAAGGCAGTTGGAATGTCAGTTGCATATGGAACCTTCAAGGTCTTTTGCATATGGAAGCTGATTGGACTTCACTGCATTCCACACCTCAAACTCACCCCCCTCCCCGCAAGGCAGTTGGAATGTCAGTTGCATATGGAACCTTCAAGGTCTTTTGCATATGGAAGCTGATTGGACTTCACTGCATTCCACACCTCAAACTCACCCCCCTCCCCGCAAGGCAGTTGGAATGTCAGTTGCATATGGAACCTTCAAGGTCTTTTGCATATGGAAGCTGATTGGACTTCACTGCATTCCACACCTCAAACTCACCCCCCTCCCCGCAAGGCAGTTGGAATGTCAGTTGCATATGGAACCTTCAAGGTCTTTTGCATATGGAAGCTGATTGGACTTCACTGCATTCCACACCTCAAACTCACCCCCCTCCCCGCAAGGCAGTTGGAATGTCAGTTGCATATGGAACCTTCAAGGTCTTTTGCATATGGAAGCTGATTGGACTTCACTGCATTCCACACCTCAAACTCACCCCCCTCCCCGCGAATTTTCCTGGTTTTTTTCCAGGCCTTCACATCTCTAGTCGGGATACACAGAGTGTCTGTGATGGACGCTGGTCTTGGGATCAGTCTGCAAGAAAAGACACCGGCAGTCACTTGACTAGCAGTGGTGATGTAATTCTGATGCAGAACTCAGAGAGGGGCGGTTTCTAATGATTAAAAAAACACCTCTTGACAGTTGGAGTTTGGCTGCTGAGACTGTCAGTTGTTTTTTGGTCAGTGGGTACTGTGCCAGGCGACTGACCAGTCATGTTGGACCTCGCTGAGTCTGAGGAGCAAATGAGATTTTTGTACAGATTCCAATATTAAGGGAATCTGAGAAAAGCCAAACATGGTTCTATAGCATAGTGAAAACTAAAGAGTCTTTAAAAAGGGAAATAAGCTCCTGGTGATTGAACAAGAGATTCACATCCCTCTCACATAGGATTTATACCCTGCTGGAGAGAGAGTCGGGTTTAGTGGATTTAGTGTGTGCCAGGAAACAGTGGACTCTGCCATTATACCCTGCTGAGGTCACCACAGCAAAATGACACTGTTTGCCCAAAGCCAGAGCACTCCCCCAGAGCCTCTTTCTAGATCTCGTTGTATTTATTTCCACAACGGGCTTTACTGCTAGTGAGAGTATAATACATAAGGATATTAATTACTTTTATTATATATGAAATATATACTCAATAAAATTATATATTAAAAAAGAGAGAGCGTGTTTTATACTGTGGCGTCTGAAGTGAATGATTATAAATGAACTGACCTAAAGCTGAACTATACCATTTGAAACAACATATACACAAGCATCAGCTTTCCCCTTGTATATATATTCCCTGCCTGCCTGTCCTTGTAAATAAAATCGTCAGTTGGTTTTCTTATTCCATGTCGCGGGTGCCTCGGTGTCTGAAAGAGCTAAGTATCTGACAAAGTTAAACCATAAACTTCATCCCAGAAAAAGGGCGGTGTTCATGAAAAGCCACAGAGATTAATATTTATAAAAAGGTCTCATCAATAAGTGGCTGGGTGTGTGACAGAGGGATGAACTATGTGGGTTCCTGGCTGAAAGAGGCGGGCAGATAGTGTCAGTGGAAAATAAGACTCCTCCAACTTGTGAAAGTTTAAAGGAACAAATCCCCACATACTCCGAAATAAGGGGATTCGTCAAAACACTATTGTGATATGGCTCACTGTTAATTCTCTCTTAAATTTGGACCAAAATCAAGAATATTGACACTGATTAAAAGTTGGTGCATACTGAGCAAACACTTACCAAGAATGTTGACCCTTGACATGAAGCTATAACTGAGTGAGTTGTGTCTCCGAGTTGGACTGACAGCTCCCAGTTACTTGCATCCGGTTTAATTACAGACACTCTATATCATCAAGAGAAAAAAGGGGGGGTGTCCTATTTTAATCCTTATTGCTGAAAGGTTATGTTTCATCACAGGTTTTTTAATTTAACCAATACCAGATACTCAAAAAAACATTTATTATCCCCACCACCACCACCACCATTTACAACAAAATCATTACACAAAACATCAACCTTAATATTTTGGGGGCATCCCCTTCCAACCACACTGACCTCTCCAGACAGACAGGTCTCTGCAGTGGACCTCCCAAGCTCCATCGTTAATGCATTTTGGACTCTGTTAGAGTCTACTGACCATTTTTAGGACAAGGAATGTTCAAAGCATTTGCAATGTTTTGTCCAAATAATCTTACAGTTTCAGTTAGAGCCACTTGGCTCAGGTTTTATGAAAATTCAGAGATAGTGGGTTAGATCCAGCAGTCCATGAATGGAAGGTGCTGACAGTCTCAGACCTTCCAGGTTTTCACTGGCCTTCCCCCAGTCTTTTCTGAACCTAGGAAAAATTTTTCCAAAGGTTGTGGGGGTTGCATGGAATCATAGTGGTTCCCAATCTCCAGGTGGTGGCTGGATATTTCCCACTATTACAACTGATCGCCAGGTGACAGAGATCAGTTCACCTGGAGAAAATGGTTGTTTCAGAAGGTGGACACTATGGCATTATACCACATTGAAACAACTGATCGCCAGGTGACAGAGCCTCCTCAGGCTCCACCTCCCAAAATCTCCAGATATTTCCCAACCTGGAGCTGGTAACCCTAAGTAATAGCTATGCAGATCAGGAGGTCGCAAGTGGGAAAGGGGAAGAAGGCAAAACTGTTCCCTCCTGCCTCTTCCATAAGCAAAGCTCCTTGTGCTGGATCAAGGGGAAGAAGGCAAAACTGTTCCCTCCTCCTCTTCCATAAGCAACCCAAAGTCACATGTACCCTTAGTTGTAACAATATTGTAATAATGTGCAACAGTCCCAATCAATGCTCCCTCTAAACTGTGGAGTCCTGTGAGCAAAAATTCTATTTTCTGAGCTACTGGCATTAAAGTTGTGAGCGAGCGATTTGGCTACTGCATAAATTAGTGTGCTCTGAAGCCATTCTTCCTGAACTAAGACAAAAATGTGTGAGCTCGAGGCTAAAAATATGTGCGCTGGCTCACACTAACTCAGCTTACAGGGAAAACTGGTCCCAATAGATTTTGAAGGTCTCCTGAGACAGGATGTGACAAGTTATGTGTTTTTGTATTTAAAAAAAATATTTTAGTCCCTTTGTATACACTAGCACAACCATAAAGCACATTAAATTAATTGCCACGTGCAACTGATGCCATGTGCAATTGCTATGTGCCAACCACTCGTTTTCCTATCATTTCAAGAATAGCCTGCTCAAACCTTCATTTTAGATCCCAGTTCTCATGGTAATTTTAAATTCACACTGATAATCTGCAAAGAGGGAAGGGTTTAATATATGCTATCGCCTCCCAACCATAAACTTGCCTTGAATACTATGTAACTAGTATCATTCCTTTTTCTACTATTGCTGCTGCCACTGAAAGATCTTTAACGAACAGTAGCCAAATTCAATTTTTGTAAGTTTCGATCATAAATAAAGTTGCATTTAATAAGTGCTAGGTTTGTTGTGGTTTGTACAGAATTTATGTACTTTTTTGTGCAATGTTAGTTTTGTTAGCTGCCCTGAACATGCTAATGGAAAGATTGAATATTACAAAACATTTAGTAATCCTTCAATACTGGAGGGATTTCAGAGAAGTATGTAATCATATTCTTATTAAAGGCATTTCTTAAACATGCTTGAACAGTAATTGCTTTTGTGTTATTGATAAAAGCAGCTAGAGGAAGACAAAAAAGTAGAATTTTGGTCTTAGTATATGGGGGGGGAGAATACTTTACAATGCTTATTTCAAAGGACACTTTCTTGCTACCCAGAATTAAACTTTGTTGGTCTTAAAGGTGCCGCTGGACTCAAACTTTGTTCTACTGCTATAGCACTGTAATTCTTCCAGCCTTCCTTATTACATCATACTGCTAAAACGGGTTTGAAAGTCCTGTCCTGAAAACTTCAGGGCACAGGAATGGCCTCTGAACACCTCTATGGGAAGCAAGAGAATGGAAGGCAACTAGTGAAGAGCAGACCACCACAGAGACCAGTCATGACGTGATTTGTCAGTTAAAAGTTTCAGAAGATGATGGTTTCCCAATGCAACCTTTATACTTTTCAACAATTCCCTACTGAAATACACAGACTAACTGGTTTGTCCTTTCAGACTGTCCTTAAACTGCATTTTGCTGTGATGTTTCAGACATTTGACAATAGTTAGGCTGTGCCAGCTGCTTACTGCGCTCATCATAATTTCACATGGTTACCCTGTGCTCTCTCCTCTCTTCCTTTTCAGTTGGTTACCTGTTCATTACCATAATTGGCCCACTTTTCTCCTTGAGTTCTTCCCCTGTGGTCGTATGCCCCTGTTATCACTGAACATATGCTTAGTGATTTCATTATGACAGAAATCTATTTGTATCCTGTTCTTTATATACTTCAAATAATCTCCTAATACAACATTTCTTTGTTGAAAGGGAAAAGCTGAATTAAAACCGATAAAAGCTGATGAAGAAAATATGTTATCAAGATCTTTCATCTTTGGCAGAAGAACATTCAAGTTTTTCCGCGTACATAAATTATTAGGTAGATATTAACCCCAAATAAGAGATGGGCAGGCTTGCCCACAGCCACGTCACACAAATACGGGACCAAAATGTTTAACGGGGACTGACCAAGGCTTCACTGCCTGATGTGTGACAGCTTTCTAAATCTAGACTAGGTCAGCAATTTGTAAAAATGAATAACCTCTATAGAAGTAATTAGTAAGGTCCAATTCATACATTCTCAAACTGATGTGGAATCAAATCTGAAACTGTTCATCTGGAGCAATGAAGGAAAAGCTAATACCTCAGTGGCAGAGCACATGCTCTGCACCTGGAATAGCCAAGGTTTCATCTCTGGCATCCTCAGGCATTTTTCAAAGAATCTCCGGTAGCTGGAAAATATCTCTGCCTGAGAACCTGTAAAGCCACTGCCAATCAGAGTAAATAGTACAGAGCTGCATAGATCAAGTAAAATGCTATATGAAGATCCCCCAGTGTTTGCCAAAGCACCAGAAACTTACACAAAAGTACGAGTGTGTGAGTGAGAGTGTTTCCCTCAGAGAGTGCAAGACATGAAGTTGTCCTCAAACTAGACCCATCTGGTGCTTAGCTGACTTAATTTGCTTTTATTGGTTCCTTGTTGCCAGAATTATGTTTTAAAATTATACTGAGATGGAAGGTGGACCAACAACCTACTGGGCTTTTCACTGCGTAGGAGCAAGTACTTATTATCTCACAGAGGATGATTTGGGGAGGGTTTTTTCCAGCACTAGTGGATTTTGAGAGAATAAACAGCCTGCTTTCCTTCACTCTCAGAAGCCTTTTGTTTGCTAGCAAACTTTTGAGGAAGTGCACTTTGAAGAAATATCTGCTCAGTGGGCCTTTGTGTGCAGCTTGCAGCTGACAGCATAAGACTGTTGCGTCTTCTTTGGGGCAGCAAATGCCTTCTCCAATCTCCACACGTATCTAAGCTCTATTTTGGTTTGCCATCAGCCTATTTTATTTTCAAATGTTTATGGACTATTACCGTTCTATAGCTGTAGAGTACAGAAAAGTTATGTTTTTTCATTTTTTGCATTTTATTCTGAGTCCTAGTTCACCAGGCTTCAATCAGTGTGTGCTGCTTGGGTGGGAAGATACACGGTCTTTTCTTCTTCATACCTGCATGGTGGTCTACAGCTACCACACAGCTTGGATATATAAAACAAACACTCTAATATGCCTGCACATACAAGTCAGGCCTAAAAATCACAGCAACAGAAAAACACCACCTTTTTAAGCAAACTCACTAATTTGAATACATTTCTACAAATACCACAAAGCAAGGAATGTTTATTAACGCACCATACAGCTGAACTCACAAGTAATTTCTTTCTTTTACAAAAATTAAGTACAGACACTAATTACAAATATTAAGTGCCATGAGGAATATTTTTTTTTGCCAGAGCGAGACTTTTCCCTTAGCTAAAGAGAGTAACTGGATCCAACCCAAGTAACAGGCATGTAGAGGTAAATATCAGAACAAATTTGAGGAAGATCCTCTCTCTCGGTTGGCCATATTTTTCAAGATATTAAACCCAGATTTCCTGCATTTAGCAAACACTATTAAAATGCTTTTTAGACCACAATGCTTACTGTGTGTGACACTTTATAAGTGGTGAATGATTAGCATAACAACCAATGGCAGACTCCAATGGAAGTAATCACCTGGTATGGCCTATGACGACACAGTTAAGTTGTATCATACATGGATAAAATGTAGCAAACACATCATTTCACTTCTAAATTAAATAAATCAGATGCCCATTCAAAGAATGATAGAGTATCCAAAACTCTTACTCCTATAAATATCCATAGATGCTTCCATTGCTGTCATCAGAATCCCCATTTCTTTGGTAGTGTCTGTACTTATTTTTGTAAAAGAAATCACTTGTGAGTTCAGATACATGGTGCATCAAAGAAATGAGTATATAATATTCCACTTTATTCTGTTCTACTTCTAGTTAACCTCACTAAATGTTCACACTGTACCTCACTAAGCATTCATACTGTTAAATATTCAAAGGAAAATACAACCTCAGCTCTTCCCTTGCTTGCAATTCATGCCTACCATTAACAGAGAAACCCTATGGATATGGATGCCAACTTAGAATCTATAACTACAAAGAACTATACTTCTTGGTTCCCTGCCAAGAGTTTGGTTGCCTCTATATCATCAGCTTTCATAACTTGTGTTTTCCATGCTGAAATAGATTGGCAGCTAGGAAACCCTACAAAATGGACGGAATGGGGGTGGGGGAGGTCAGGCATCATAATACTTAAATTAGAACCTCTAGTCAAAAATAACTGCT